AGGTCCCATTTTACAATGTGTACCTTCCCTTTTTTCTGTTATACTCCACATTTTCCACTGGAAGTGATCATGTTTTTGATGTTTCAGTGATTTTGTGCTTCTGCAGAAAGACTAAATAGAAAGTCTGGAGGCCAAGGTGCTTACAGATGGTCAAAGCCCTAACCTGAGAGGTTTGAGACCAGGGGCTTGCCTGTGGTTCTGCTCCTTTAACCAAGTGTTGTGGGCTGATAGATATTCTTTCTTGGGGAAGAATTTCAGTCCAGAACATAAGTTTTGTATGGAAAAGGTTTAGATTCTCATGTATTTATCATCACTCAAATGGTTCTACTTCTTGTAGCTGGGAACCCTCTGCTTTTTCTTTGAGAGATTCTCTGTTCTGAGATACACATTTAACTTTCCATGTCTCATTTTTTAGGGCATTTTACTTGTGCCGTGCCCTAAAGAAAAAATCCCCAACCCTCTCCTGCAGACTGCCTTTCATCAAACACGGTTATGAAATAGTTTCATTAATATTTTCATTTTAACCCTTCTTCTCAGGACATCCCAGCTAAGTAGCCCTGTCTGCTGGCTGTTTTGCAGGTTGGCCTGGCCGTGGTGAATGGGCAGCTGATGGCAGTGGGGGGCTTTGATGGCACAACGTACCTGAAGACCATTGAGGTGTTTGATCCAGATGCTAACACGTGGAGGTAACTTGAATTTGTGTGACAGTCAAACAGTGAAATCCAGCTGCAGCTGTCCCAGGCAGAGTAGGAATGTGGTACACACCATAACAGAGAGCTTGTGTGGGGTAGAACCATCACAACATTCCCATTCTGGCTTCTTGCCTTGCAAGAAAAAAACATTTTGAAAAATATCCCAGTATGGCCCTTCTGTTCATTTTGGGCTGAGTCTCTCCTGCTTCCCAGTAAAACTGAGCTTGTCCTTAGCAGAAGGAACTCACAGCCACCATGCAGAATTTGGCCTGTTCACTTCTTGCTTTCAAGCTGAGGGAGTGATTTCTGAATCCTTTTGGAGGAGCTGAAACACTTCAAGCACATGGTGTTACCCCCTTTAAATCAGCAGGATTCAGCCACTGGACAAATCTCCAAGAGATGGAGTGATTTCTGAATCCTTTTGGAGGAGCTGAAACACTTCAAGCACATGGTGTTATCCCCCTTTAAATGAGCAGGATTCAGCCACTGGAGGAATCTCCAAGCTGAGACAAATAATATGAAATTGCTGACCAAAATATATGCTGAGCAGAAAAGAAAAGAAAAATAGCCTTTCTAGACAAAACTACACTTGAAAACAATTGCTTATGCATTTATTCCCAGATGTAATTAGCATAAAGTATCAAGCACCTGTGGGTATTTTTGCTGCTGTGGTGATTTGGCAAGGGTGGGGAATGGGGAGAAATTAATTTCCTTATTCTTATTAGTGATAGTAGTAATTTAACCCTTCACTGATAAGAATGGCTGTCATGAGCAGCAGTGGAGGAATTTCCCCTGGTTTGGTGAGCCATGGATCCATAGGCCTTTTGAACTGCTGAGGAAACCAGTTGAGGAGGGAATAGTACATAGATCAGATTCCTTAGTGGAATGGTTTCAGCTGCTCCCTGTGAAAGTTCAGAGTTAGGAGTGGCTGCCTGGCAGGCATTCACACAGTTTGGGAGATTATTCAAGGTATTATTAACTTGTGTTTTTTTTTCCTCCACTGAACTCAACATAGGGAAGACCACAGAAGCTGGTCACCTTTCTTTTGTATCTTGAAGATATTTTTTGTTTGTGCAGCTTGACTGAGAAACAATTCTGCTGCAATTTGGCTTTAGCAAAGCTGTTTGGAGAACTTGCTTCTGTTCCTGTCAGCAGACTCCAGTGGCACAGAGGGGAGCATGCAGCTGCAGTCTGTAGGGATCTGATACCCCTATGAAATGCAGACACCATTGCAGTCAGCAGATGGTGCTTGGGATGTGTTATATCTTGGTTGGATCAGCTGAAAGTAGGGGTTTAGACATACAAAATAAATTAGTTGAATTGTGAGGACTAAGCCTAGTCCTGTGTTACCCAAAACCTAGCTTAAGGTCAGCTACAGCTTACAAAGTTTTTTTGTCTTGCACATTACCAGACAGGGAGCAGGAAGTTTTAAATTATTAGAATTTATTTCGAATTTATTTAACAGAAATTTGGTGTCAAATCAAGCAGCAGTTTCAGTTCTGAGAGAGGAAGGCACGAGCAAATACAGCTGTTTAATTAAGAAGTGTGTAAGATGGGTGCTCCACTCTCCTTCACTTTAAGCAGACATCAAAGATGGTAACACAGGCTGGTTCAGTGTTTCCCATGCAGCTGCCAAGGGCTGGTGTCCCCGTGGAGGAGGATGAGAGGCAGTGTGTGAGCTGGAATGTTGTCTCTGCAGGTTGTACGGCGGGATGAACTACCGGCGGCTGGGCGGAGGCGTGGGGGTTATCAAAATGACACACTGTGAATCTCATATATGGTAAGCTTCCAGAGGGAGGGAGTCCCCTGCCTTCTCATTCCTAGAAAAAACTGAAGAGACTTGTTGACACTGGACCTCTTTGCAGCTCTAGTATGCACGGTCTAGATCCAATGTAACTCTTTGTCGGTGAACTCTTTCTATGGAATTCTAAAAACTGACTTCTGTGAGAGCGTGCCCCGCGGGAGACCACGTTGTCAGACTCCAGGGAACCACTGGACAGAAGTAGAAGTGTTGCTTATGTCCGTATTTTTTATAAATAGTTCTACATTTTTTGAATAAACCAAACTGTAACAGTTATTGTAGCCTAAAAGGATGCTGATGTAGAGCCTATACACTCTGTACTTGGAGTCTGGCCAGGAGGGATTCCTGCTTTCCCTCCTGCTGTGGGAGCAGTGGATGTGGCAGCTGTTTGGTGGGCGAAAGAGAAAAAAAAAGTGATACAGAAAACATTGCTTTTGCCTTATTTACAGAGAGCTTCAAAAAAAAAGTACTTGACCTGCAAGGTGCCACCTTTGCACAGAAGCTTTTCTGTGCACAGAGTATATTTATTTTTTCATTTGATTTGTATCATGTGTTTCCTTTGTGTCGCTCACAGCGATGATTCCAGCTTTTTATATACATCTGTGTGTGCATATATATATGTATTTTTTATATATATATATGTATATGTGTGACTTGCATTTTGACCAGCTGGTGGCTTGGGCAGGGCTGTGTCCTGCCAGCTACTGTGGTTCCAAGCCTTGTGGTATGATTTGGGGTCTCAGGACAGGAGAGCTGTGAGGATGAGTGCCCTAAGTATCTTTTTAGAGCTGGAACTCTCGTTGCTTGACAGTGAAATGCCCAAAAGGGGTGAGAGGAAAAGGATTTCAAGCAATGCCTTTTTACTGTACAAAAATTCAGCTTTTCTCTCCTCTCCCCTCTCCTGTGTGTGAACCTGTGCTGATTTGAAGGTAAGCCAGCAGGGGAGGAATTAACCCCACAGAAACACCTTGTGAGAGATTTCAAGTTGGAGTTACAATTCAATAGAAAGATGACGATCAATGCAATGAATACACAAAGTCTGGCTTAAAACCAGTCCTGATTAAACAGTAGTTGCAGTTCTGATAGATGAGGTCTTGTCTAAAGCACTAGTCCTGCAGGAAAGTGCAAAGTAGCAGGAAAGGCCTGCTCCTTCTGTGGATGTCCAGTGGTGGTGGTGGTGTCCAGGTCCCCAAACCCCCAGATCATGGACCCTCAAAGCCAGGCAGGAATGTTGAATCCCTCCCCCAGAGCAAAGGATTTCCCAATGAAATGATGGAATGCTGAGTCATAGGATATTTTGGGGAGTCCCTGATGGCCCACTGGCAGAGATGACCCCCCCTTGGGCTGGGTGCAGGTGTCACTTTGTGAAGACAGAGAACACTGCACCCAGCTCCCAGCTGTCACAAAGGACCCACCACTAACAGGAATAATGCAGGAATAATATCAGTTCATCAGAAATAATGCAGCTGGGTGTGGAATAGAGTTTGGCTACGTCCACACTGGTACTTCATCCTGCAACCATTGACAGAACTTAAATCCACCTAGTTCTAGCTCACTTTTAAAAGCCTTTTTCCTCCTGTTGCCTGTTCAATATCAATTGTTGTCTGAAGCAGGGTGCAGGTATCATCTGTTAATTCTGACACCTGCTTCTTGTGTTCTTGCTGGAAGGGGCAGACCCAGAGCCAGCTCCTTCCTCCTGATAGAAAACCTCAGACCAGCCTCACCTCAGCTGCCCTCTGCCTGTGTCTGTGGAATTCCTGACCATGATGGATGGTGCCCTCTCTTTGAGTGGTTTTTGTGCACTTTGCCTGTGTGTGGTTAGAGCAGGGAAAGGTGTGAGGCTCATTTAAGAGTTTGGAGGGGAAGGGCTGTTTTCTGGCACTGTGAATAACTGTGGAGTCTCCCAGGAGTGGGGGGAGAGCAAGGAAGAACTCAAGACTCTGCAGTTCTGTTTTTACTGTAATTTCTATTGTGTATGGAAGAATGACCTTTTGCACCTGATCTAACTGTGGACCTTACTAAATTTCGTTTTGAAAAAGAGGACTGTAAATTCTTGAGATGAAAAAGGCAGTGATGACATCTTAAGTTCTTTAACTTCATAGTTTGATTCATGTAACTCAGACTTTAATGTGCTTGAATATAGTAAAAAATACACTCCAGTCATAAATGGGACATTAAAACTTTTTTAAAAGCCCCTTTACCCCTAAAGGTCGATATTCTTGTGTTTACATATGAAGATCATTTGCACCTTTACAAGGAAAACAAGTATTCTGTAAACAATTGTTTACATGTATCATTTATGCTTTTTTCTAGCATGAGTAACTTGTATAAATAGTGCTATCTTAATAAATTTCTTTTACGCTGTTCTTGGTTTGTTCCTTGGGGTGAAAGCAGTGGGAGGTGTTTGTCTGTGGTTTATATGGTCAAAGAAGCTGGAGGGTTTTTTTCCCCAGATAAATCCCAGTAAAAGAGGCTTAAAACTGCTGTTTCTTGTTACTCTTCACATCACTCAGAACCAGCTTTTTCTGGCAGGAAGGATTTGTGCTATCTGGCTAAATCTTATCTCTGCTCACTTAACTGCATTTAACAGTGAGGACAACACAAGGAAGAGGTTAAAAGAGGCTATAAGAATTGAGGTTTTTAGAGATTATTTATGCAAATTGGTTGGAAAGAGCTGAGCATCAGATTTAAAACTTAGCCCTGGGTGTAACAGTCCTATTTTGAAACCAAGTACAGGTACCAGTTATTTCCAGACCTTGCACTCCTTTGTCCAGTGCTCTTCTGACTCCAGATAGCAAACTTTGTCTGAGATATTTCAAAAAAGGAAACTAAAGCATCAGAAATGATAGTTTTAAGTAGCTGCCAAGACCTTCAGAAGATCACTTAGCTGCTTTTACCAGGGTAAGAATTGCCACAGATTTCAACCATGACATGCAAAACCAATCCATCTTCAAGTAGTAAAGAATCTGGAAACAGCTTGCAGTTATGTCATGTGTCAGGCAGTTTTATACTGGGAAAAGAAAGGAAACTTGTACCCCTGTTTGGGAGAAGGTCATAACACAAATCAGCTCCCAGAGGTGCTGCACAAGTGGGAAGCAAGAAACTAGACTTGGAATTTTGCTGCTCACAGAAGCATTTAATAAGTAACAAGGAGTGGTTTGGTCAGCTAAGCTGTAATTGGAAATAAGTTCCATGCAAGGATATATTTAGACAGTGGTGGTCTTTCCTTAAGACAAAAGATGGAAAATATTTTCTTTATTTAGTACTGTATTACAAAAATGTCTCAGCAGGTGCTACTTTCTGCTCCTTAAATGTCCCTCAGAACTTTTACCTGCTCCAGAAGGAAGGGATCCAATATCAAATTCTAGCACAGCTCCAACCCTGAGAGCTCTCTGGCCTACAGGATTACAAATCCAAGATTACAAATATCAGGACAAAGCCTAGTAACTATGAAGCTTATCTACACATCACTTTCCTATCAATCAATGTGTCTGGGAGGACCAATGGGCTGACAAGTGCCTCATGTCCCATCTCATGCCCAACTGGGACATAAATGAACATCATCACCATTACCAAGTGCCCTTAATGAGTTAAAAAGGGAGTCAGAAGCCTGTATTTTTCTGCCTGGATTGTAGAGCATGCACCTTTTCTCAGGTGTGCTGAACTTTGCATTTAGGCTAGCCCAAGATTAGTCACGGTTTAGCCAAGGCTAAGGTCTGCGTAGCTTAGGCTGTCCAGTGAAAACCAACTTTGGAACAACAGAAATACCTGGCAGTAAGTTGCATCAAGAACTTGCACTGCTTGTCTCTGAGCTGATACATAAATGAAATGAGTGAGTCTGAGAAAACAAAGCTGCTCAGGATGCTGTCACAAGTTTGCACTGCAGCCCTTCTTCAGGGCCAAATGTCCGCTTGACTTCGCCGTGCATGGAATGACACAGCCAAGTGCTGGAGCTGCAGTCTGACTTTGGACAGCCAGAATGAGAGGGGAGAAGATGCTGCAGGAGTAAGTTTCCTGGTGGTTTCTCAGCACAGACTGTCCAAACAAAGCCTTTTTAGTATGAGGAGCTACTGAAATGGCTCTCACTGTATCTGAGCGATTGCGAGTTCAGTCAGTAGCATCAGCACTCCAGGCAGGTACTGGCTGTGTAGAATCTGCAAGAAAGAGAAAAAATCCTGTCAAAGCAACAATTGCAGTTGCCAGATTTCCACCCTGGTTGGAAGGAAACTACCAAGTGTTCTGTGTGTTTAATCAGCTGCTCTGATGTTGCTTTACTTTTCCCATACTGCATATGACTTGAATTCTGTCCCATTATGAAAAGCCATAACTGAATTTACACAGCACACATTCCACAGGAGCACCCTTCAGAAAGCCTGAGATTCCTTTGTGCACTTACCTGCAACAGAAAAAGTTGTTTCAGACAGTTTTAAGCTATTAAAAAACAAGCAATGTGCTCCTCATCAGAGGGAGCATTTAAACAACTGCATTTACAGAAACTGTTCTTTAACTCAGAAGTAAATATTGTATTGCTTGAAGGATTCATGTTCTGTGGTTTGAAGGATATGGAAGGTAGAAAGATCAGCACCTTTATGAAAAGGTTTACATGTGAAGGAGTCTTCTGCCTGTGTCTTAATAACTACAATACTGGAAAGCTAGGAATGTTTTTGAAGTTTGGGATGTTTTTAAGTCCAAAATGAGGTTTTCTATGGCCTAAGAAACTTTCCTGTTCATACCACAGCTAATACACCTATTTCTGCCCCAGGCAAGTAGCTTCTGCTGCAACACAGTAATAAAATACTGTAGTGGCAGCTGCCCCACCTCTAAAGCCAAATATGACTAGTAAAAGCTGAGGGTTTAACAATTCCTTGTAGGAAATCATGCAAAAGGCACACAAGACCTTCAGGTACAGCTATTTTTATTTGGCCAGCATTAGGACAACCTGCTACTAAAGGCCTCACCTTTACAATCCCATCACAGTGTGCCGAGGCAATCGCTGTGGAAACCTTCACCAGCTTGGCAGCTGACAAGTGGATCTTGAAGTGCCTGTGGAAGTGGGCATAAAGGCAGTCCATGAAGACATCCACCTCCTCTTGGGTGATCTCCCCTGGCGTTTTTTGCACCGTGTCCCACAGAGCTTTGGCATCCTCTGGGTGGATGGCGTAGGAGATATCCAGGGGCTGCAACAGGCGGGGCACGGAGAAGAGCAGTTCCACGGCGGAGGCGGCTCTGTCCAGCTTGCAGCCAGCCCACATGGCCACCATCCAGCTGAGGTTCAGCGGGCTGATGGCCAGGCGGCGGAAGCAGCAGTCGAAAGTCTTCTGGAACCAGCTGCCAACCAAGGAGGTGTAGCTCTCGGCCCCGTGGCTCAGGAACAGGGGCAGGCAGGTGAAGTGCTCCGGCACGTTCTCGGAAAAGTCGTCTCCGAACACGGAGCAGAACCAGCCCATCCACACTGGTTTGTCCTCAGAGTTCTTGGAGGAGGCTCGTGACCTCGAAAAGAGCTGCCATGGGGAGAAGAAGCATTGCAATGCTGCAAAGCAAGTGTGGCTTTTTCTTTTTTTTTTGTCATATATTGATTTAAAGTTTTAAAACTTTTTTTAAAAGTGGCTTTTTTTTAACTTGTGTCAAACACATACAATTATTCAGTCTGTCCACGACATCCCTAAAAGTTCAATGCAATTCTATTGAAAACAGCAGAAAAAGCACTTTTAAATTCCTTAGGAACAGTCCTGACATCTGAGTTTATGCTGCTTAACTCCCATGGTACATCCTACAGCCATTGACACAATGAACCTGACACTTCAGTAGCACATTTCACTCGAGGCAAAGCATTTCAGAAATATTAATTAAGCTCTGGCCAGGAAGTGGGATTATGCTTTATCCAGGAAGAAAAATAACCCATCCATGTCCTGGCAGTAAACTGACTACTGAACTAAAACATCAGAGATTGCTCTGTATAGCCATACCCTGATGCTGAACTCAAACTTGCTCTTTACTGTATGCATTGCTTAGGGGAGATCACAGAATCTCAGTTGAGCTGAAAAAGACCTCTGAGGTCATCAAGTCCAGCCTGTGACCAAACACAACCTTGTCATTAGACCAAGGTTTTGACTGTGTCACATCCAGTCTTAACTTAAACACCTGCAGGGACGGTGACTCCACCATCTCCCAGGGCAGCCAATTCCAATGCCTAATCATCCCTTCTGTAAAGAAATTCTTCCTAATGTCCAACCTAAACCTCCCCTGGCACAACTTAGGACTATAAACGTTCAGTTCCAGTTAAACATAGACAGAATTCAGTTTCATTAAATCACAGTGGATGCCCCACTAGGTATTCCACACAGCTAAGGTTTAACTTCGGGCTTTTCTTTCAAGACAGAGCTTTCCATCACAGCATAAACCAGCTCCCACCTGCACCAGGAGCGCAGCCTGGTCCAGCTCGCTGCCCCGGAGCTCGGCAAGGCTGGACAGGGCCGCCTTGATGTCCAGCTCGACGCCCACCTGCACGGCCAGCCCCTTGTGCTTCTCGGCGGCGATGAAGGCGCCGAGCTGCCGCGCGTAGTCCCTGAGGCGGCCGCGGCGGAAGCCGAACAGGGGGGTCACGCTGTACAGCGTCCAGGCTTTACGCAGCAGGAACGCCGTTTTCTGCGGGTCCGCCTTTTCCTAGGGGCAAACAAAAGAAAAGGAACGGGGTTAAAGTTTGGTTTGAAGTTTGTTTTTGCAGCGCGGCTGAGGGGACGCGGAGGGGACACGGAGGCGGCGCCGCCCGCGCCTCCCCGTACCTGAGAGCACAGCGCCGGCACAATGAGGCGCCCGCCGGGGCTGACGCCGAGGCGGCCGTGGCTGCGGCCGAAGGGCAGAGCCCGGGAGAGCCGCCTGAGGCTGGGCAGGGTCCGCACCGCCGCGTCCTCCGGCGCCTCCTCCGCCATGGCCGCCGCGGCCCGCCCGCGCCGTTCGAACTTCTTCCCGTCGGCCCCCGCGCGGCGGGCGCGCCCCTCCGCCATTTTTGGGGCGGGCGGCGCTGAGGGAAGGAGGCGGCCGCGGGTTCCTTTTTTGCCTTTTCCCCTCCGGAGCTCTTGTTTTTCCCCTCGCGCAGGTCTGTGGTGCTCCTCCCGTGTGTCTGGCTGAGGGGCGGCTGCGGGATGGCGCTGTCCCGGCTGCTGGTGCGGGCGCTGCACCGCGCGGCCGCTGCCGCCGCACCTGCGGCCCCAGGTGAGGAGGAGCGGTGCTCCCACACCCTCGAGATCTGGGCTCCTTCTCTCCCGGGTACAGGTCAGGGGAGTCCACACAGTCGATTAATATCACAAGTTATTTTCCCTGTATCACTTTATGAAGTGTCTTGTCTACATCTGTTTTAATTCTAAAGGCTGTCATGAAGAATTATTTGTTTGTGTCCAGGTAATGGTATCCTTCGGGCTTCTCCTTGCAAGCTGAGCCTCTTGCACATTCTGTAGTGGTGTGCTTAGGCTGTGATTGCAGGCACAATCACACCTTTCTGTAACCATGCTTAAGGCCTTCTTCCAGTTGTTTCAGGCAGGACCTGTTCAATTTACACCTGCATGGTGGGTGTCCTCTATGTGTGTGGAATTCTTGGTTTGTTAAGCCCTGTTCTGCTGTGTCACTGGCAGGACAAAGGGGAATGGCTTTGACTTGAAGGAGGGCAGGATTGGGTTGGATATAGGAAAAAATCCTGTGAGGGTGGTCTGTTCAATTTACACCTGCATGGTGGGTGTCCTCCGTGTGTGGGGAATTCTTGCTTTGTTAAGCCCTGTTCTGCTGTGTCACCACCAGGAACTGCACTGGCAGGACAAGGGGGAATGACTTTGACTTGGAGGAGGGCAGGATTGCACTGGATATTGGAAGAAATTCTTCCCTGTGAGAGTAGGGAGGTCTTGGTCCTGCTGAGAGGAGCTGTGGCTGCCACATCCCTGGAAATATCCAAAGCCAGGCTGGATGGGGCACTGAACAACCTGGGATAGTGGAAAGTGTCCCTGCTCATGGCAGAGGTGGCATGAGCTGAGCTTTAAGGTCCTAGAAACCCAAACTGTTCTGTGATTGTAGATTTAAATGTGGAATTGTCAGCATCCCTCAGGACTGATCTGTGACTTTTGCTTCTCTTGCTCCTGAAATTTGCAGGGAAACAGTTCGCAGCAAGGCTGTGCTCAAGTATCTTTATAAACTGAGAAACAAATAATCCCTGTTTAAAATACATTTATACTAGCTTAATTTAATGTTTATGACATAGTATTTTAGTGCGGATCTGTATAAGAAGTAACTTCTCCATATATATTAAAATTTCATTGGGAGGGAGAACTATTATTTATTCTGCCTCATCTGCAAAATCTATGAGAGATTATATATATATATATATTTTATTTTTTTTTTAAATTTAAGACTTCAACAGTTTTGTCACTCGGACCAACACGTGTGGAGAGCTGCGTGCTGCTCACGTGGGACAGAAGGTGACTCTGTATGGATGGGTTCAATATCAAAGGTAAGTGCAAACCATGGTGAAAATGGAGGTGATTATTTGCCACATCCAGTCTAAGCTGTGTTTCATCCAGCATTGCTCTCCTGTGATGGTCTGCATGGGTTTTTTGATTTTAGGAGGTCCTGAGTGTCTCATCTTTGAGCAGTTGTGGATAGGGGCTCAGGAAGAGGAGTTAGGATTATTGCAATGTGGTTGTGGTGATCTTGTTTTTGAAGACACCAGAGCCTGTCCCATTGGGGAGTTTTTTGATGGATAAAGCACAATGGCAGCTGTCCCTGCTGCAGCTTGAAGAAATCAAGATTTATGGTTCTGGGGCTGGCAGTGTGGATTGTTCATGTGGAACTTTTTATAGGACCAGTGTTCCCCTTCTTGTGATTGGATTTTGTTGTTGTTTTTATTCCACGTGAACTTTAGTTTTATTGCTCATTTAGTTGTTTTTAGCTGAATTCTGTTTCCCAGCAGGAAAATTCACGTGCCCAGAATCCCTTGTCTGTGCATGAAAGCTCAAGTTAAAATCCTGCCTCTCCTGGTTATTTGTATGTTGTGTGAGGCTGGTCACAATGTGAAATGATTTGTGCAGGTTGGGTTCAGGTGTGGGAAAAGTGTCCATAATTCAGTACTTGGAAGTGCTTCGGGGTGAGTTGCAGGGTTCTGAAAGTGTAGCCAGTTGCCATATGCTTTAAAAAGTATAAACTACTAAATCTGTGAAAAAAATGTTCTTCCTTTTGTGCTTTTCATGGATCAGACAAGGCCTGTTTCTGGTTTTGAGGGATTTCCAGGGCCTGACCCAGGTCGTCATTCCTCAGGATGAGGTAAGTGCTACCAAAACACGAGTCTGTGTTTTTATTTTCCTTTGGCAGCCTGGCTTCAGCAGCCACTTTGTCAAACTGAGTGCTCTGACTCACAAGTGTTGTGAGAGCCCTGACCTGACACTGCAGCAGAAGCATCAGTGCCTTTTCCCCTGCCTTAAAAGAGTGATTTTGGATTGAGGTGCTTGGCCACAGTGCCTTGGTGCTGTTCTTTGGTTCCTCTGAGGCTCTGTCCTCTCCCTGCAGGCACATTCCCACGTGAAGGAGCTGCTGTCCAGCGCCCCGCTGGAGTCTGTGGTCAGAGTCACTGGGACAGTGTCCCCCCGGCCCCTGGGGCAGGAGAATCCGGTGAGGATGGGCTGGGGGGGACTCCCCAAGTTGTTATTCCTTGAAGGAAACACCTCTGGATGGTGGGATTGTGGTGGGCTTTGTGTGAGAGCATTGTCAGGTTCTGGTTGTGTGACAGCCCATCCTCAGATAGCACTGATTTCACCTCACACTGTGTCAGATAACAGGAGAATCTCAGAGCACATTGCAGGCACCCACAAATTAAAGTGGATCCCAGCCCTTTGCAAGGATGATGCTGGGTTTTCCATGCTTTCAGAGTGTGGGGGGAATTCCTTTTGCTTGAAAATAGATATTGTCATGTCGAGTTCCACCTGTTTATTGATTCTGCTGGTCTCCCTGTATAGGAAACAGAGGTTGAATAATTTTTTAATGTTCTGCATTCCTCAGCTGTCATTGTAATCAGCTGTAGACTGATCTTTCAGGATTGTACATACAACTGGCAGGCCTAAAAACAGTACTGTATTTATGATCATAACTCCTTTTTGCTCCATCTTGTAGATGTCCACTTAAAATCCAGGCTTCAAGCAATGCCTTTCTTTCTTTTATTGATTTCTTGTTTTGTGGGAAGGTTGTGTGTCCTTTCCCCTGGTAAATAGTGGGAGTCCTGCAGGATGAGTGAGCTTTGCTGTGCCTCAGTGCCATGTGAGGGGAGCTGCCTGCCCTCCCTCGGGATGGAGTCAAAAGAAGACCAGTTCTGAGAACTGGTGTTTAGAACTGGAAGTTCTGAGAAGTTCCTCATCATTTGCCTTTTTTGACTCATGTTAAGGGCTGCTGCTGCTCGTGCTCACTGAAACCCACACTGTGTGGTTTTGCTGGGGCTAATGTGTTTAGAGACCAGTATGCTACTGGGAAGGAAGCTGCTATCTTTGGTGAGGTGACTTGTGTTTCTCTGAAGAGAAGGAAAACATGGAAGAAATCTGTCCTTAGGAGAAGCTCTCTGATTTATAGATTGTGTTAGAAGGCAGGGAGTGTAATCACATTGCTTCTTTTTTTTCCTTAGACCATCTGTGAAATACCTTTGTCCAACTGCTTTGAGTTTAATTTTCTTGCCTTTTTGTTCCAGAAAATGCCAACAGGGGATATTGAAGTGAAGGCAGAGACTGCAGAGATCCTAAACTCCTGCAAGAAGCTGCCTTTTGAAATCAAGGATTTTATCAAGGTGTCTGTGTTTCTCTTATCAAATTGGTGGCTTTTTGCTAAATTGGGAATTTGCCCAGGGTGGTGGCAAAACATCTGAGGGCTGAGTCTGATTCTCCCTGCTTCACTTCAGAGGAATGATGGTATTTAAAACAGGGGTGCTGTTTGTTTGCTGGGATGATTTATTTCCAGTTAGCTTGAATGATTCCAGATTTCAGAAAGAAATTATGGTAAAGGAAAGAGTGAAAGAAATGGGGCTAAGCTGGGTTTTTTGAGTGTGAAATGAGGCTGTTTTATTTAACTCATGGAATCACAGAATGGTTTGGGTTGGAAGGAACCTTAAAGATCATCCTTTTCCAAACTCCCTGCCATGGTAGGGATGCCACCAGGTTTCTCAGAGCTTCATCCAGCCTGGCCTTGAACACTTCCAGGGATGGGGCAGCCACAGCTTTTGTGGGCAGTTTGGTTCTTTGTTCCCAGCAAAGCCATATTTGTGTAGGTTGTGCGTAACAGGCACGTTGTGGCAACCAAACACAATGTGCTTCTCGTCTTTCCCTGTGGCTCTAGGAGCACCTTGAGTGGACATGCAGTTCGAGTTTTGTCCCTTAACCCTGCCCCTGTCTCCCCCCAGAAGTCGGAGGCGCTGCGGATGCAGTACCGGTACCTGGACCTGCGCAGCTCGCGGCTGCAGGCGGCGCTGCGGCTGCGCTCCCGCGTGGTGATGAGGATGCGCGAGTACCTCTGCAACCTCCACGGTGAGGGAGCTGCTGGGAGCAGCAAACCTGCCAGCCCTCCCTGCTGCTTTTTCCTTGTGCTGCCAGGGATTCCTAACCGACCTGCTGCTCCAAACTGGTCGTGTTTAATAAGGACGTGTCTGCTTGTGGTGGGGTCTTCAGTGGGATGTTGTCAGGCCTGAAGAAGCTGCCCGCAGAAGTTATGGCTGCCCCATCCCTGGAAGGGTTCAAGGCCAGGTTGAGTGAAGCTCTGAGCAACCTGTTTCAAATTAGCTGTTTCCAATGAGAAAAGACCCTTTGCAGGTCGTAGTCCTCATTTGGTCACCCAGTTGAGGCATGTCAGAGGGATGGATTTTGTTTAGGGCTTTTGCTTCTCTTAAAATCAGGAATTGCTTTTTGGAAAACCATTGCCTGGTTCAGAATAGATAGAGAATTAACACATTTTCAGCCTGTTTGGAGTCCTCTGTCATCCACAGTTCTGGCAGGACATCAGAGTAGCTCAG